GAGACTCACAATGCTTAAAAAATCCGGAGCGCCCTAAGTTGCCCTATCCATTCCGCTTCTCTACATCCTGGTTTTTTAACGCAAGTGCGACAGAGTGCCAGATACGAAAAGTAACCATAGCAACAGAGAGCAAACTAAAGAACCAGTTTACAAAAAAGAAAAAGTGTATTAACGAATGCATGCCCAGCTTAATTAATGAAATTCGCCGTTACACAGAGCAATGAGACAAAATAAATGCTTGTTGGTGAAACAATTGCACGCCCTTCTTTAATGAGTCAATGATCGCGTTTCTCGGCACTCGGACCAAGAGGTGACCAAAAAGCGCTTATATTGCCGCGAACCATGCATTGGGTTTGTTTATTTGTGTTTTGTTTTTTCGGCCTGGCTGCGCTGGCCTGTGCTATCGCTGTTTTCACAGCGTTTCGAACAAACGCTACCACAGCGTTTCGAACAAACGCTGTCGAACAACGCTTCGAGCGTTCCGAACGAACAGCGTTTCTAAGAAACGCTATCACGGCGTTCTCGATACAATTCGACTATTCGAGAAACCCTCGCGCCGAGGGATATAAATTCCCGGACAGCCGATGCCGCGTCATTCAATCGCCGACGCTCACTAGCGTGCCCGTCGTTTTGCTGGCCACTGCTTCGCCGCCTGTGTATTCTTTCAGTTGTTAGGGGAGCACAGGTTCGCTCCAATAAACTTGTTTTCCTTATAGACAACTGCATCGTCCTTTGCTGCGTGACAATATTTTCATTTAAAAAAAAACTCCAAAAAAAAACTGTGCTGCGCGGAAGGCGCAGCACAGTCACCGTGAAAGCTGGCCTTTCAGAGCCTTTTCTAAACACTCATTGGGTAACTGCTATAAGTTAACTTGCTGGGTACCCACTACGCCAATATTAATCAATCTCTAGGTAGTAGGCCGTCACTCACTACGCTATTCTTCGTCATTTTTCTGAGAAGCGTGGTATCCGCTAAACACTTCCGATCGTTCATGCAGTGGGTGAAGACGATGAGGAATTAATCCTGAAGTGGGTATATGCCACAGTTAATAGGTGATTAGGATCAAGCTTTTGTTCTTGGATTGGAGCATTGGACGGCCCAATCGTTGCATAATGCACAATGTGAAAAAGAGCCAGGTTGGCAGATAAGTCCTCAAAATATATCTGCAACCACTATCTCCGGTATGTCCACAGCTAAAACGAAGGCAGGAAAGAGGAAACTGCGTCTGAGAAAGCAGTTAAATGCTCGAATTACTAACCATATTCTCGGTATTAGTGGGCAAAAAGAAATTGTGCCGTAGAAACCACGGCGGTGCCAGTTTCCTTAATTTTCTTTTATGCATCTGCACATCACACTGGCTTTCAATAACGTTTTTGAATGCGTTTAAATTACTGCTTCTCCTACACACTCGTTCACACCAACGCCTAATGCCTACGACTCATTCGTACTCTCCGAAAAGAGAACCATAGTCTATCAGAATAGGAATCCTCTTTGTGCATATTGTGAGGTCTCAAAGAAAGCCGCGCTTTCACAATGAACGGACACAGCAGACGCCATCAGCCAAATCAAACATCGAGTACATTTATGCAACTGCTTTTAAAAACACTTTTATCGTCAGCAGAGTCCATCCAATACGTCCTATAGTGACACGCTATAAACAGCCTTATAGAATATTTCTAATAAGACAGTTAATTTAAGCTTTCTCGGCTAGTTTCCGCACCAGCCAAGGAGGGAAGGTGTTTGAGGTTTACGGACGGTGCCTGTCGATGCCACGAGTGCTCGGTGGCAACGCGAAGGAAGAGCCATAGTCCGGTGAAGAGACGCTTTATTGCAGCACTCATGCGTCTGCCCGGGTCCAATCCCGAACCTTCACTCTTCTTTTCACATCCAAACAACCTCTTTTTCACCCTCGGTCAAACGAAGGATCTCCACACAAGCCAATCACACGTGGGATCTCGCATCACCACAATCAATTGCCGGTACAATTTCGTAACAGACACTGCATTGGTAAAACAAAGAACTTCCGCGAAAGGAAGCGACAGCACAAGAACGAACACCGTCAATCGAACAGATAACGGAGCGCAGTAGCAGAACACTGCGAACGGTCTGACCACCACAACTACCCGGACGACGTGGTGATTCTAGAAAAGGAAAGGAACATCCACTGGCGACTGCTCAAATCCTGGCACATTCCGCAGACAGCGAGGAACATCGACCGCTCCACGTGGACATTTCCCTCTCTCCACTGCCAGGGATTGCGACGGGTCACGGCGAACCTCTCATGCAAGGCGAGCAATTAGGCGTATATAAGGGCCACACATCTCTGGCTTTCTCACCCTTGAGGAAGAAAGCGGTGCAGTTTCGAAATGTCGGGTTTATGAATGCAATTTTGGGGGCGAAGCTTCCTTTAAGCTGTGGGTCGTGCGTCAGCGATGTATGTAGTAGTAGTCGTCATCGTAGTAGTAGGTAGCACCTCTACGGCCGGACTTGAGGAGCGGCACGCGCGCACCCTTTTGAATGGAGGAGTGAACGCGTGCACGTTAATCATAAATAAAGATATATTTATTTCTGATAAAATAACTTACAGAAACGAGTGTTGGTGATTTAATCTCCAATAAAATTTATCTTGAATTTAATGCTTACTAAAAAAAAGCTAGTGACCGAAGAACGTACCTTGAGCACTATCTGACCAGAAAAGGTTGCCAGGCTTGCTGGGCGTAACTTTTAGCAACGTTTTAGCGAGGTTTAGCGAGGGTTGGACCGCAGTGTCATGAACTATATAGCGACGGGGAAAGGTGGGAACTAGACACGAAGCGCAGGCCGTAAGAGAGTGCGCCCGTGCCACTTCTCTAGTCCGGCCGTGCCATCTCTCGTTCAGTCCTTGGAATGTCCGCTGGATGACAGTACTTCTATTTGATGAATGTATGATAAAAATATGCGAGATGCCGGTACTTGTGTTCACTAGATGGATCGACGGAATGGACAGACGCGCGGATGGGCAGGTGCACGGACGGACGCATGCATGGAAGCATGAGTGGACGCAGGCACGGACGGACGCATGGATGAACGCATAGACAGACGGACGCACGAACAGACGCATGGACGGATGGATGGACGCATGGACTGTCACACAGACGGAAACACGGGCAGACGGAAGCAAAAACGAACGGACGCTTCGCCCCACTCATTATCATGCACTCCGTAGATATGCTGTGATTTTTTTCGGTTGGAGTTTTTGCGTCAAAATACAACATGTGAGGGGATAAGTTCTATGCGCAACGCATGTCGTGACCCTTCTCTCTTGACGATAGTTATAGCGCGAGAACAAAACGATGACACAGAGACAAGAAGGACTTCTTGTCTCTGTGTCGTCGTTCTGTCCTCGCGCTATAACTATCGTCATGCCATACCAACTAGCCCTAGCTGCCACACCCTTCTCCCATGTTTGACCGTGTATCGGCTGACGTCCACCAGTAGCCATTCCCAGTCTCGAGCTCCGTCAGCTCACGCACTAAATGCCGCTTCGTAGAAGCCGTTCACAACGCACTGAGACAGTTGTCAGACCCTGTATGCTGACGTGTGCATGCGACAGCGAGGCGCCCTGCCTTCCAAGGAACACTTGCTACGCGCTACCCGCACAGCCGCAACGCATGGGCCGGGACTCCTGCCGCACCCAAGCGGAGGGTGAAAGATAGTCACCAATTCACTCATTTTCACCCCACTTGGGTACAGCAGGGTCCCAGTTCGTTCATTGCGGCTGTGCGGGCAGTGCGTGGAAATGCCCTAATGGCCTAATGGCGTATAGCGGGGAGCTAGCTCATCCACGTGACTTCTAACCTAGACGACCACGTGTCGACTGGTTCTTCTGAGATGCACCTTCAGGTCGGATTTTCCCTTTGTCCAAATGGCGACTTTGACGGCTCTCTCGTGCACCGTGATAACGTCCAAGCACAGAACACCTATACACTACCATTTAGAGAAGGGAAACTGTACCTTTGACAATGCAACGAAAATAAGGGCAGCGGTGGCGTTGTTAACTAACTTATCCGTCCGAGAGACGGCGCTGGTAGGCCTATCATCATTAGAGTTACTGTATATGCTACCTTTAGGTAGCATATACAGTGACTCTACTTATCATCATTGCGCTAGGGCAATATGACGGCTACTTTGGTAGCGGGGGCGGGTGGTCGCGGTGCGCGCCCGCATGTTTATGGGCGTTTATTCGCTGCTATTGCGGAGTGGTATTCGCGCACACGGCACCCTAAAGTTACTATAAATATTTCCGCTATGCCTCCAGGTGACCGAGAGGCCTCAATGGGCAAAAAACATGCCAAGCAACTAAGCTTACTTTGTTTTTTGACAATCGTGAATGAAGCAGCATACATGTAAACAAGGAACGCTGTCTCTAACAGAGTTGAAGCAATACATGCAAAAAAATAACAATAAAGGCATTTGCTCAATTAAATTACCCGCTGAATTTGTGCAACTTTGTCTTTTGTCTCGTTCAGTCACACAGCAATATTTACACTGGATACTTTTTGCGCAGTACTTGGCACCGTGCTGCTCGTTGTCTTTCTCACCACACATGCTCTCAAAAAGTGCAGTGTCAGTACGATTAGCCTGAGCTGCAATATGATATTTTACAACGCATGGGCGAGTAGCACATCGCGTTGAATAAAAAGAAATAAAACAAATTCTCATTCGGAATTGGCCTTCTACATGACAACATGCGTCCTTGCGTGTTTAAAAAAAGTGTTTAACGATTTAAAGGGCTAGGTACTCTACTATGGGAGAGCATAAAGCCGTCCCGTAGCTCCCCTATACGACAGTCATATAGTTGTGTAGACCAAACATCCTTGTATCCTTGCACCACAATCAGAACCAATGGGAGGATCAAATATTTTGGTAGGGAAAACTAATTGCTCGCCCGACTGTCCTGTGCCAGCACCTTGTGATTATTTCCTCTTTTTTCACTCGAAAGAGTGGCTCGGGGTACGATTTGAAGACAGTGAGAAATTCAAGGCCACCGTTTGCAACAGGTTCAATTACCAAGCGGCGATCTTCTATTCACATTGACTAAAGAAACAACTGTGACAGTACGAGAAACACTAAGAAGTTAGCAGTTATTCTGTAGAAAAGTAAAGTAGGTTTTTGCTAAACTAAGCCTGCCAAACAAAATTTTTGCTAATGAATATTTACTTGCTTGGAACCGAATGGCCCTTATTTTTGAATGACCTTCAAAGTTTTTATGCT